AGGGAAGTTGCAGCTCCGATCATGGTCACACCACGAAGCACATCGCCAACAGTTGCAGCCGTATATAGATCATTTTTGTGTTATATTTGTTTTGCAGTTTGTGGAATGCCTTAGGTTACTTGGTGCCATGCCGGTGCAGCCCCTCTAACACAGCCCGAGGTGTGAGCCTTGGATGGTGCAGAAGTATTGCAAGTTCTGAAATTCTGGGCCGAAATTAGGACAACTTGACTGACTTCCTTTTAAGGGCACTGAGTGGAGGAGACTTGCAATTTGCGCTGCCTACGTGGTCAGGCTGCGCAAGTCACTCCAGGAAGCGAGCCTTGCAGATACCGGTCGCCCACTCAATTGAAGTGGCTCAAGTGCAGATCTCCGGAACAAGAACGCTACTAGGAGCAAAGGGCATCGCTTCTAGGAGTAAGGACGCTACCAGGGGCTCGTGGCCGTACTACTCGGAACAAGAAGCTACTAGTAGCAAGGAGCACGATAATGGTTCAGATATCGGGGGTTTGGTGTTATGAGCCTGTTGGATTTTGTACAAAAGAGAATGGTCCTTCAGTCCAGTGCACCTTCCGTTTCGTTTGTCTCAGCGCCCTCAACGGGTGAGAATGGTGACTCGTTGCAGATTTCTTCTCCCAGGGAACTCGTGGCTCCAATCCTTTTGACTCCTCGAAGCAGTCCTGCCAGGGTCTGAGGGCCTCAGCAAGTATAGAACGTGCAGAGTGTCAACATGACCAGATGCTGGAGGTGGCTTGGTACAATGCCGCTACAGCTCCTCCACAGCCAAAGGCCAGGGTCTAGAATAGAAATAGAATCTAGAATTATGAGGAGGCCAGAAGTAGAATCTAGAAGCTATTAGTAACAGGTGCCTTACTAGTAGCAACAAGAAGCTATTAGAAACAAGTGCCACGCTAGTAGTCACAGGTGCCTTACTAGTAGTAACAAGACGTTATTAATTAATGGAATGCGTGTTTCCTTTTGCTCCGAGGATTTGTCCACACCAAGATCAAACCAGCCAACCTCTCAAGACATGGCAGCAAGCTGCAGCAAGCCGATCCAAATGTCACAGATGTATGGTGTATCGATCAGGCCAGCTGGGCCAACAGCTCCAGAGTCTGAGATAGAAGGCAAAGCACGCTGTGATTCATTCGCAGGGATCTCAGCTGGAAGGCGAGCTTGAAATATTCCAACATTGACACCGTGAAAGCTCAGGAACCTCCAGGTCAAGAGAAAGGAGAACCAAAAGAAAGGAGAGACTTCATAGTGGACATGAAGCAGTTTCTTGTACACGCACCATGTATGCATTGCCATGTGAAACATGAAGGAGCTTGCGACCGACAAAGGCAGGGTTTCAGCAAGCTCCGACGGGGCTTCGTTGCCGGATCTACGAGCCCATGAGTTGAGGTAACGGTTTACCCACCTGTTCGTCTGGAGTCTGCGCCCTCCAGAGGTTCCAATCCTAAGATCTTGTTGTGCAGGCAGTGCTTTTTCTTGAAACGCATTTTCACTTCACATTTCGATGCAGAGACAGAACTTACGCAACCACATAGACCGCCAGTGCACAAGCTTGGTGTTTGTGCTCCTTCACACTCCTTCCGCCTTCCGACTCCTTCCTGGTCCTTCGCATTAGTATTCAGTTGGAGCTTTTTAGCTTCTTGTTTCTACTAACTTCTTGTTACTACTAGTAAGGCACTTGTTACTAGTAGCGATGCACTTGTTACTGGTAGCTTCTTGTTATGCTTGAGTTTTGGAACTCCAAGAAGCGAAGGAACACGCCTTTTGTGTGCAAATCTTGCACCTTCATGGGCCGCAACATCTAGTCTGGAATGCAACCCTCCTGTGAGTTCAAGAACCAGATGCAGCTTCGGCATAGACCGCTGAACCTGAAGAAGATACATTTCTGAGCTGGCCAGAAAACCACACAATATGAGGTAGAGTACAAACAAAGTCAAAGAAACATCATGCTTGGCACCCAGGTGAAATTTCACAAGGGGTATTCAGTTTGGGTGACTTTGCAGGCGTACTGACCCTTTGGAAGAAAGAACATAGACTAAAACCCATTAGTTGGGAGGTCCCCCTACTAAAATACAAGCCCAAATGGCAGCACGACTACACATACAAGTACTCGTAGCTACAAAACGTGCACAATACTTCAGCAGAGGAAAACCGTTTGTTGTTCTTGCCTTGTCTTAGAACAGCCAGCCACAGATCAAATTGACAAGTCCATTTTCTGTGGCAGGTCTGGGATGGTCAATTGTCATCCCCTTGTAACATTTACAGTACATTTTTTTGACAGTCAGATGGGTCTTTTGGAGTCTCTTGGATGATTATAGTGTTTTAGCCTCTTGCCCTCACTCGACTCCTACTTAATGAAGTAGGCGCCTACTTAATGAATTGAGGGCCAGCTATTGCCTACTGGATGCAGGATAGCTCACGCTTCAATGAAGCTCTCCCCGCCGCCTTGGAGCTTCCTTGAAGAAGCCCTCGCACTATTCATTTGGTTCCTAGTCTTGTAGTCTGGAACCTTCAAGAAGAGCCATTTTGTCCTGGTGTAGTTGCAGCGAACAAGCAAATGACAAGCGAGTGCTCTTAGCCTTGGCTTGGGCATCTAAAAGCGGGATGTGGTGATGGATGTTTGGTCACAGGGATGGGTTGTACTGAGGTGGAGGCTACACTGACACACTGCTTCTTGGTCCTTCTTGGTCCCAGAGAGAAGCAATGAAATTGCAGCATGCTTTCAAGTTGAAGTTGTTGAGCGTCCCGGCTTCTGTTTGACATTCTCCTATCAGGCTAAATCGACCAAGCCCTGGCTACTTCACACCTGCTACCAGATCTGTGCCACTTGGTTGCAAGATGCAGCAACAATTTAAGGCACTGAGGCCATGTGTCTTGAAGAAAAGAACAAATGTCTTC